ACACTGAAAATAAAGGTATGTTAATGTCTCAAAGTAAATTTTTTTGTAATTTTATTTGGTTAAAAGATTCTATCTTCATTATTCTTTTTAAAATTGATGCTTCAAGGTAAGCTTGGGGCCAATGCCATTCTTGGAGTGTCAATGGCAGTTTGCAGAGCAGCAGCAGCTGAAAAGGTAAGAGATGTGATTTTCTGATTGATTTAGTCCAAATTTTTTTTTAATCTGTAGGTGACTCTAAAATATTCATACTTATACTGCACTATTACTAAAATTCTGTAAATACTAGGTGTAAAATTCTGTAGATACAGCCCCCACTACACTTTTTATAATTTGTCTGTCAGTTGATTTTTGTTTAAATAATTTCTACTATACCATTTTAATGAATTAATTTTTCAACCTTTTGTTAAATGTTTCAATGTTTTATTACAGGGTGTTCCCCTATACCGTCACATTGCAGATTTAGCAGGTACTAAACAATTATTCCTTCCATGTCCAGCCTTCAATGTTATCAATGGAGGAAGTCATGCTGGAAATAAATTAGCCATGCAGGAATTTATGCTCCTTCCAACGGGTAGGATTTTAAATAAATTATGCTTACATTTTTCTTTATTGAGATTATAACTAAGAATTGTTTAGGTTATAAATGATAGAAATTCTTAATTATTATTCTTTTGTATAAACATACATTAAATCGCTTTTGCTATTTAAAATATATCTTTAGGTGCTAGTTCATTTTCTGATGCCATGAGGATTGGATCTGAAGTTTACCATAATTTAAAGGCTGTTATTAAAAAGAAATATGGTCAAGATGGTAAGTTGTTACATTTTATTTAATCATCTAAGAATTAAAACTTTTTTTTTTACTTAAAATTAAAATGTTGTGTGTGCTATTTCCAGCCTGCAATGTTGGAGATGAGGGTGGTTTTGCTCCCAATATCCAAGATAATGCTGAAGGTAAGCTGTCAAGTACCATTAAGGATTTTGTATAGGTATTCTTTACTAGAAAAAAACTTCATAATGCATTTTTTTTCTAATACTTGTGTATATTATAAAAGGTCTGGAGCTCATAAAAGAGGCCATAGAGAAAGCAGGATATACTGGCAAGGTTGAGATTGGCATGGATGTGGCTGCCTCAGAATTCCACAAGCAAGGAAAATATGACTTGGATTTCAAAAACAAAGACTCTGATCCATCAAAATGGGTACAAGTTCAACTGCTTTTATTTGATTAGTAATTTTCTATTTATCCAATAGCTTGTTTACTTAACCATCTTTATCTTCTCTTCACAACAGCTGACTTCTGACCAACTCACTGAAGTATACAAAGGTTTTGTGTCAAAGTACCCTGTCATAAGTATTGAAGACCCTTTTGATCAAGATGATTGGGAAGCTTGGTCTAAATATACAGCAGAAGCTGGAATTCAGATTGTTGGGTAACTCCTTTAAAAATTTATTTTTAAAAATGTACCATGATGCAGTATTTTTGCATTGGGAACTTACATTTTTTTAAAGCAAAAATACCTCCTGGTTAGGTAGATTTTGCTGCCAATGTGCCTGCTTCTATTATTAACTGGGGAATTTAAAATATTGATACAGAAATTAAAATAACGTTTTCATTTTTAAAATGGTGGTATGATTTATTTATTATTATTCTAATCATAGGATAGCTCACTATTGTGCTAAAGACATTCTGGCCTCTACATAAAATTTTAATGGCTCTTTTAAAAACTTTTTCTTAAGTAGTGTTATAAAATATTAATTTAAGCAACTCTATTTATGCATACCAGAATAAAAGTTCACAAAGTTTAAATAGGTCTTATCACTTAACTTCTCTGTCTTTCAACCACCAGTGATGACTTGTTGGTAACCAACCCAAAACGTGTACAGAAGGGAATTGAAGTCAAAGGCTGTAATGCTCTCCTCCTTAAAGTGAACCAGATTGGCACGGTGACAGAATCTATTGATGCGTAAGTGAAGAAAAAATAATTTTTCCAGAGATAAATTTTAATATTATCTTTATCATACAAAAATGTAATTGTTTTTTCTTTTACATATAGCTGCAAGATGGCACAGACAGCAGGATGGGGTGTCATGGTGTCCCACAGAAGTGGAGAGACTGAAGATACATTTATTGCAGATCTTGTTGTTGGCCTAGCTACTGGACAGGTGATTACTTTATCTCTTTTCTTTTGATTCACTAATAACGTTGCCAGTGTTTGGTTTACCAGACTGCTGTACTGTCAGTTCTTTGTTCTCACCATCATTTTCACCCTTTAGCATGTCAGCATTTTGCAATTGATTTTAAGATACAAAATTGAAAATGGCTTGCTCTTCAAAATTAAGTCACCTCCAAAAATGTTTTTAGCAATAGGCCACATCCAAGAAGATTTTGTAAGAACTGCTATTAATAGTTTACTAATTTAATTGTTCAATGTTTGCCATAGATCAAGACAGGAGCACCTTGCAGGTCAGAGCGTCTTGCAAAATATAATCAACTCTTGAGAATAGAAGAGGAACTTGGCTCTGCAGCTAAATTTGCTGGAAAAAACTTCAAGAATCCCAAGTAAACATTTAGCAGAAGTTAACAAGCTTGATGAGAGATTTGCTGCTCTCATGTTTTCTATTTTGTGATTTCTAATTATTTCTATCTTGACCCCAGAATCATTCACTCCCTATTATCCATACTTGATTGTGGTCCATCGCTAGAACATCAATTGATTATATTTTAAGGATATTTTCTTGCTAACTTTAAACATCCCCAGCTCAAAATTTGTACATTTTTATAGCAAAACTTGATAAACCCTTGCTTTAGATTTGTGTCAATATTTAGAAATTATGTTTTAAATTAAAATGTTGATTCTTTGTCAAAGGTAGGTAGTAATAGCCGTAGAGCTACAAATATATGTTGTCTCTAATCTGTGTTGAGATAGATGTAATGTACATCATTGATGGTTACATGTGTGTATTTATTTAAACTTCTATCAGAGAGATTTTTTATTTTTTTGATTTACCATTAATTTAAACAACAACTCTGTACTTTATTTAAAACACATTTTCTGTTTTTCCGTTAACAAGCCATATTTCTGTAGATCTGAGTTTCTAATAAAATAGATAGTTTGTGCATTAAGGGAGCATTTTAAATTTGTATTACTTTAAAATCTGTGCACTTGTATTGAGTATGTAAGATCCTCATATCTTCACATAACTAAATATAAATGGAACTTTTAGTACATAACATTAAAAGTATCAAGATATAATTTCTTTGTTATTGACTTTCATTTGTAGCTACCTAATAAAAATACATATTTATTTATATTTAATGAAATATGAGCTGTTAGAACTGCAAAATACATGTGGTGTGATCAAATCCCGTCTTTAAGAAAGGATTACATCCATGAGTCAGCCAGTATATTAAAATGCACCCATTCTGTTAATTTTTAGTGTCCAATTTGAAATCTAAGCTACTTACAATTCTTAAAACAAATGAAACCAATGAGAATATTTGCATTAAAGAAAATGTTTCCCTTTTAGACCTAACAAAGTAGAGTGGTTTCTTGATCATGTCATATAAAGGGGATGGTGTAGTCAGCACTATGCCCAGCCGCCTTTACTTTCCCTAATGTAAGTCAAGCATCCATAAGAACTGGGTGGACTTTGGGATATCTGGTATCCAAACTTTTGGCTCTACCACCTCATACATTTCTTCATGGATACTTCACACTATGCCAATTAACTGTGAATCTCATGTAAAAATAAAAGAAATATTTAACATTTAAAGAAATATGCATACATGTTATTTCCATATGTATAAAAATAATTAATGAATTCAAATAAAAATAACATTCCTAGCTTTGCATTATATCTGCCCACAATTTTATATTCTTCAAAAAATATAAGCTTCTACGGGTGAAAAGCATGTACAGAATTAATGGGAAAGTTAGGATGTAAGCAACTACAAGCCTCATTAAATATATCTCAAATATTCACTAGGGTTTCTATTTTTAAAATTAGTCTTACAAGGGTTTAATAATGTAGTTAATTTATTAGTCATTGCAAGTGAATTTCTTAGCTCATTGTATGATTAGAGCTTAAAGTCAACATAAGGAATATAAAAGAAATAACAATGTATTTCACTTAGTTTCAGATCTAAAACTAACAAATGCAACTTGTTCATCTGCTGCTAAGTACTTAAAGTTTTGGACTTTCAAGCCCTACAGTGTCAATAATTAAAAATGTCTAGTTCCTTAATTGAAATTTATGTGAAACAAAATAAAAATAAATATCACTTTCTAAATGTTTTTAGTTTATGAATACACAATTTAGAAGTTCAATTTAAAAAGCAACTTTTTGTTATACTTATTTTATTTTAAATATTTTTTTTCTAAAAATACAATTACATAATATATAGCCTTAGTTTAATACTTTATTTTAAAAACTACTTTTCAATTAAAAAATAATTTAAAATGTCAGTATGTATAATAAACTTTTGAAGACAAACATTTCAATGTCTATACAATGAAAGTAAAGCGTAAATATTAGCTGCAATTAGCACACTGATGTTCCAAACTTTGTTGTACTAACAAAATGTTTAGAACAAAATAAATAAAAAAATTTACAACTCAGATTGAAGTTGAAGTAACAATATTGACAAAAAGTGTTTAAAATATGAGTTAATATAAGTTTGATCAGTGCTTGCAGTGATGGCTAACGTTTTCATAAATTACATATGTATAGCACATTGTACTCTGCAACAGGAAAAATGATTTTTAAATACTTAAAAACAAGCTAACCAATAAAATAGAATTCCATTATTACAATCTTTATATTAGAGATTTTTTTTTTAAATTTTCTCACATGGTGAATAGGTCCAAAGTAAAAAAGTTTTATTTCATATTAGTAGTACGTTGAAAAGATAGTTACTATTATCAGTTTGTTAACCAAAAGTATGCTGCATGATTGTTTAGGTGGACAACAACAGATCCTGTTAGGGCAAAAAAAATGCAATATGTGGTGAATGTTGTTGTTTGCAGATGGCTTCAATGATGGTGTGTTGTCACTTCTGGTGGGTTTAGGTACCATTTTTAAGTAATGGTGTTGTTTGGAACACTTAATAAATAACTTATTGTTTGTTAGATCTAAAAATAAATTTCAGTTATTATTTACTAGTTTCGAGAAAATTAAACTGGAAACAATAAAAATTTTGAGTGTTAAATAACATGTCTCTTGACCACCATTACACTCCTTACAAGACAATAATGATAAATTGCCGCCCCACGTTTTTATGTTATATAACATGTGCATGATCCCTAACATCTAAGACAAGACAAGATAGCTAACAACTAAACTGACATTAACGTTTGTTAGATTTCCCATTCTTTTTATTTCCAAAAACTCGTATGTACAGTGTTTCTTCCAGACTCTTTCACGGGGGGGGGGGGGGGGGGGGAACACGACGACGGACTAAAATCTCCGGGAGGGGCGAACACTGTTAAGCGCATATATTTTCTATATAAATTTCATTCGGGGGGGGGGGGGCGGTAGACTCTGGAGGCCCCCCCCCCCCCCTAAAGAGATGCCTCGGAAGAAACACTGCTTATGTAATATGTATGACATGCTCCACAATACAATTTGTCAGTGTGTCAATAAAAGGACTGCCTCTCTGTTTTCTGCAGGCTTTATAACCTGAATACATTTTAAAATATTTTAATTTACTAAATTTAAAATTGTGTTTATAATGAACGCGAGTCATCCATAAATGATTTCACACTTCAGGCTGATCTTCAGACTTTTGTGATGAAAGATACATGAATGTGTATTTGTTACAGGTAAAGTGCAAAACCCAGCTTTCTGTAACCCTTTACCTTACCTTTACTGTCACTGGGTGACACCATTTAGGGGGGGGGGGGGTGACACCAAGGAAAAAAATAGCTAAATATATAGAGAAAAATGATAATTCCACTTAATTGATTAATTCGAGTGTTTAATAGTGTTTTAAGAGGTGCAAATAGAAAGTTTGAAGGGGGGTGCAAATCGAAAGTTAGGGGGGGGGGGGGTGCAAATCGCAAATGTGTCCCCGGGAAGGGTCGCTACGCCTCTGGGGGGGGGGGGGGCTGGCACCATTAAGTGCCGCACCGGGTGACACCGGACCTCGCTACGTCACTGGTTGTGGTGCATTGTAAAAATTGTATTTCTGTGTTCATTTGTATACATTTAATAATAAATCTCTCTGCAATATTGACTTTTTCACAATGTGCCTAAAAGTGTGCTTGGCTTGTCATTGTATTGCCTTATCAAATGAATTTCAGAGAAAAACCGAAAGAAGAAGAGTGGACAAAACACATGTCTGCTGTTTCAGGTGTTCGATCTAAGTTCATCCCAGCGATATCCACTCTAGGGCAATAAACACTTGCATCAGCCCAAGTGCCGTAAGTGCTGATTTCATTGATCTCTGAAAGTTTATCCTCATTTTCTTTGTAATTTTTAAATTTTATTTTTTCAGTATTATCTTAGACCAACTAATACATAACAGTAATAATGTAAGAATTACACCCCTATTAATTAAAAAAAAATTACAAACTTGCTATTAATTAATTTTTGTTAACAAACTTGCTTCCTATGTCTGTCGTCAGTCTGTCTATCTGTCATCATAGATCAAAACAGGCGAGCTAAATTTCGGGCACTTCTGACTGACAGATTCATTTCAAAGTTAGCACGTGGGTCAAGACCCGAAGACAATCAGAGTTTCTTCCCGGCATCTCTTCGGGGAGGGGGGGGGGGGGGCTCAATGGGCGTACACTGTTAAAAGTCTATTACTTTCTATATAAATTCCATTTCATTCGAGGGGGGGGGGGGAAGGGCGGTAGACTTACTTCGGGGGGATGCCTGGAAGAAACTTTGGACGCCCCACCCCCTTCTCTACCGCCCTCCCCCGAACGAAATTTATATAGAAAATAAATATATACTTTTAACAGTGTCCGCCCCCACTCCCCCCGAAGAAAGTCTACCGCCTCCCCGAAAATTTCAAGTGCCCCCCCCCCCCCCCCCCCCCCGGAGAAAAATAAGCCTGGAAGAAACACTGCTCGTCACACATTATCTCAAAATTTCAAACACCATTTTCCCTTCTAAGATCGAAAATTCTAAGGAATATTAAAAATGTTAGATCTAGGCCTAGTGAATAGTGTTTTTCAATGTTAATAACAGTTAATAATATGTTTTCGATAACCTATAGATTTAGTTAGATGATGTAAATTAAGTTAGGCTTAGCTGATCTCAGCATAAGTTTAGCAGTAAAAAAATCAATTTACGTAAAAGATCAGCGAAATGTTCAGACTAGATCTAACTTCCTCTGCAAAATGTCTGAAATATACAACTTCGCCAAAGAAGATTCACGTGGAAAAACAACGTTTTGCTATCTAGAATAAATCTGAAAATTTAACTAGATTCTAGATTAGATTATCTAGATTTAGTCTAAATATGAACAGCCGATGTTACATAAATATAGATTCCTTAGATTCTAGTAAGGATTCTAACAGAAATGCAATTAATTTAAATTAGAAATATGATTTAAAATGTAAACAATTCAATACGTGAATCTGAATCGATGAAAGATGTCGATGACACTCGATGATGATGGGCCAAGCAAAGTCCAAGTCACAAGTGGGTGTTGGGAAATTGCGAGACGCAAAAAGCGAATTGTCGAGGCTGTAAACTGCGAGAATCACGGGTAAATAGCCAGACACAATGTACGAAAACAAATTTTGGGACAATATTTTTATTTTTTATTATTTTGAAACATCTTTGAAGTCTGCATCAAATATATTTTATAAATATAATTAATATATAACTGTAAATCCCCTCGGTTGCGTAAAATTTTTCGCAGATAGCTTCGTATCCTACCACCATCCTGCGTAAGTATCGGGTGGTGGTAAAATGCGAGGCAAAACTATCATGTGACTGATGGTTTTCGCGCCCTTCTAGCAGTTTAACTGCCTCGCCATTTCGTGTCTCGCAATTTCCCAACACCCAGGCCAAGGCCAAAAGGATGCAGATTTTGTATAATGCTGATCTACTGATCTATGTTCTATGTACTAGCTAGATCTAGACCTAGTAGTATTATAAGTAGTAATCGATGTAGATCTAGATCTATGTATCATGTATGAATGAGTGAAAAAAAATGAATGAGTTGATCAAGTATTATAATCTAGATTTTTTTATCTACCTGAGTGAGTTAGAGTATGATCATTTTATGTCATGATCACAATATGTTATTATTTAATAAAATTAAGAGGGCCAAATAATATAATATCAATATTAATAGGGCCTAATTAATGATGTTTGTGTTTTGGCCTACTGTTTAGTAAATTACTAAATACTGGCCCCTATTTAAAAAAATGTATCATTCATCATCATGTAAAATCATGTTTCTTGTCTTATCATACACTGATGTCTTATCACTCTTATGACTCTTAAGTATATCATCTTATGTTCTTATCTTTATATCTGATTTTATGACATACAAAGTGACTTGTCAGAAGAAGCTTTTTCCTCCTAGCTTAAGCTTTCTGGCAGACAATGCAAAAATTAAATGACCTTAAAAAGGCTAAAAATTGGCTGAAATGACCATTAAGAGCTGTGCAATAGGCTGGAATTATTCTTTTTACTCTGTCAAAAAGTAATGTATGCCTAAGTTGTAAATAGTAAAACTTTGCAAAGGGATAGGTTTGATTATAAAATTATATTTATAAAGTTACTTTAGAATGTAGTGAGACAGAGCTGAGAGCTACTAAGCAATAGAGTATAGTGATGTATATACTATATACTGTTGGCCCTATAGATTCTATAAATGTTGTGTTAATGACAGTTTTACTGCTAATCCAAACCATGACCCTAACAGTGGCCTAACAGATATAGTACTGTACTGTCCTGCAGACATTTTATTAGAGCATTTGTGTGTTTTTCTAGTATCACTACTCTAACCCTGACAGTTATTAACCCTAATCATCATAGAGACAGATGATAGCTTTAACAATCCAGTAGAATCTTTTTTTCTTCTTTTTTTTTCAGCTTTGTTCAGTAAATAAATAATAAAAAGATTTAAAAATTATATTTGATTTGGCGTAATTCAACTACAACCATGGTTAAAGAGCAGTTTCGTGAAACTGATATTGCAAAAAAAATTAGTCATGTGACATTTGGGTTTATGAGCCCTGAGCAGATGCAGAGGGCAAGTCATCTGCATGTTGTCAACAAGACTTTATACAGGTAAAAACTTATAACTGTCCAAATAGTGTAAAGTTTTGCTCTGATAAATATCAACGTGCCATCACCTCAGTTTTTTTTTCTTCTTCCTTACTAAGTTATGTATTGCAATATTAATTTAGAACATTATGCAACACATCTTCTAAAATGTTAAAGAAAAAGTATGTAAAATGTAATTTACAATGCTGCAACTACAATCTTCTATGATACTTTTTTGCACAGCCAAGATGCTAAGAATAAACCATGCCCTAATGGTGTGTTGGACCACAGAATGGGTACCAGTGAAAAAGATAACAATTGTGACACATGTGGGAAAGTCTTAGCAGACTGTGTTGGACATTTTGGGTATGGCATACACTTTTATTACAATTTCATTAAATGAGATTGACTCTGAAGTGAAAAAGATGCATAAAAACCAGAGTACTTCTTCTTTAAAAAAGTCAAGCTCCTAATCTAAATTTATATCTTTTACAGATACATAGATTTGGAATTGCCTGTATATCACGTTGGACACTTCCGTACTACTATCACAGTTTTGCAAATGATTTGCAAGTCGTGCAGTGCCATACTATTGTCTCAGGAGCAGAAAGATGCATTTCATCGTGCATTGAAGAAACCTAATCTTAGCTATCTGCAGAAGAAAGCACTTCGTAAACGTATTTATGATGCCTGTCGCAAAGTCAAGACATGCCTTATTTGTGGTGATCATAATGGAATGGTGAGTGTACAGACAACATTGCAGGAGTTTTTTTAATCTAATTCTGGCCAGTAATACTTGGGTTTGTTTACTTCCGAACCAATGGTTTTCAAACATAAGAAATTGATAAGGTGCTACTTTTAGTGAATCTTCTTCATTCATTTTGCGCTCTAAATATTTAAAAATCGTTCATGTTTAAAAAAACAAATCTTTTGTTTGATTTTAGGTAAAAAAAGTTGGTTTGTTTAGGATAGCCCATGATCGATCTCAACAAGGCAGGAAATCAGAAGCCATATTAAAGGAAAGAGTTGAAGCATTTGACTCAGCTGTGAAAGCAAATTCTGAAATATCTACCCTGATGAACAAAAATTATGATGTGCTGAATCCAATTATTGTACATGAGTTGTTTAAAAGAATTGAAGATTGCGATATTCCATTGCTATTGATGAATCCTGAAGTTGGTCGACCTGAAGATTTGATTCTGACACGCATATTTGTACCGCCTATTTGCATTAGACCATCTGTGGTTTCTGATTTGAAGGTGGGACTTATAATATGATTTTTAGATCAATACAAATTCAAATAACATGCTTCAAATTATTAGATGTTGGCGCATAATTTTAGCTAACATGTTATTGATAGTGCAGTATATAATTATCAAATGTGATGTTTTTACAGATTTAGTTTTAAAATGTTTAATTCTGTTTGTTGTAGTCAGGGACCAATGAGGATGATATAACAATGAAGTTAACTGAAATTATGATGGTGAATGAGATAATTCAAAGACTGAGAGCAACCGGAGCCAAAATGCAGATGTATATGGAGGACTGGGATTATGTTCAACTTCATGTAAGCATCAACATTAACTTTGTCATTGAAACAGTGAGATAGATAAATGTGAGGTTCCCTGATTTTTGAAATTTTAATTCTTATTACTTGTCAAATTTTCAGTCTTATTACTTGGCTCATACCTTAATTTTTAAAAGACCAAAACTTCTATAATGGCTCTCCTTCTAAGCTAATGGTTAAAATGGTTGTTTAAAATTTAAGTGAAAGTCTGTAAATATTTAGCAAAGATTGTTTTTGATTATAGTGAATTATTTTGAAGGGTTCTATAATAAACATTGCTACTATGCTTGTTCATAAACATAATTTGTTTTGAAGGTTGCTCTGCTTTACAACTCTGAGACATCAGGCATACCTTTGAGCATGCAACCCAAGAAAAAAACCAGGGGCTTTGTACAAAGGCTCAAGGGAAAACAAGGACGTTTTAGGGGAAATTTGTCTGGGAAACGTGTGGATTTCTCTGGAAGAACTGTCATCTCCCCAGATCCAAATATGCGCATTGATCAAGTAAGTGCTTGATTCACTAGTGGTACTAGTATACTGGCTAAATCAAATTCAATCTCTGCAGTTATTGAGTCAATTTTTAAGGCTTAAGTTGATTAAACACTTAAATTTTAATAATTATCCTGAGTAGGTTGCTGTGCCTATCCATGTTGCTAAAACCATGACGTATCCAGAGAAAGTCTGTCCAGCCAATCTGGCACTGATGCAGCAGCTTGTCAGGAATGGCTGTGATGTACATCCAGGTGCTAATTTTATCAAGGTGGGCCTGCTTTACTAGAGGCACTGGATTAAATTTTAAATCACAATATAGATGTAGGTAATATAAAGTTATTAATATCAAGAAAAATTGTTTTCGCATTTGAAAAAAAAAATCTTTCTGGTTTCCACAGATTCAGTCAACTGGTGAGCGCAAATTTTTGCGCTATGGCAATCGTAATCACATAGCAAATAGCTTGAGATATGGCGATCTGGTAGAGAGGCATATGATTGATGGCGATGTTGTTCTATTCAACAGACAGCCATCTTTACATAAACTCAGTATTCAAGCTTTTTATGCAAAGGTTAGATGAATAAGTATTTTTTTTTAGAATATGATATACATATGGTTAAAGTTTACTGTTTTTTTTATATAAACATTTGATTTAGATTATAGAATATGATGTGGATAGTAATGCTGTTTTACTTTTTTCTCTTATATGAATGTCATTGTTTTTCCAGGTGATGCCCAATAGAACCTTTAGATTTAATGAATGCTGCTGTGGTCCTTTTGGTGCAGATTTTGATGGGGATGAAATGAACCTTCACCTTCCACAAACAGAGGAGGCTAAAGCAGAGGCTATTACTTTGATGGGCTCTAAATCTAATATTATAACACCAAGGAACGGGGAACCTTTGATAGCAGCTATTCAAGATTTCATTACAGGTTTTGTTTACTTGTGTTCATGCTCTAAACATTTATAATATTTTTGAAACCATTATGATGTAAAACTAGTAAAAGCATTGTTATTGATTTTTTAAAATACTTCTGATTACTTTGTCTTAGTACAGTTTATTGCACAGGATAATTCTCAACCAATAAAAAGCTAGTCATGCAACTTGTCACTGTCTCATTACTCCAGAGCGGGGGAATCTCCATATTTTATGTTACAACATTTCAACTTATCATTGTTTTGATACAATCTATCTAGGAGCTTATCTGATGACACAGAAAGATGTTTTCTTTGATCGCAACCGAGCATGTCAGCTGATAGCCTCCATGTTGGTTGGTAAAGATGCCAACATGAAAATAGACCTCCCCCCTCCTGCCATCTGGAAACCGTGTAAGCTTTGGACTGGGAAACAAGTGTTTTCTCTGCTGATGAGACCTAACAAAGAATGCCCAGTTATGGTAAGATGGAAATAAAATATTCAATACTTTTAATCTCAACTCATTTTAAATTAAGTTTAAAATAAAATTTGTGAGTAAGCTTCTCAGGAAGTTAAACAGCTCTTTAGGATTAGATTGAGTAGTGTAGGTTGCTCTAAATGTTTACTCATTCCAAATACCTGAAACACTGTTGTATGACTATGTTTTTATAATTTGACTTAAAAGGTGTTGATCAGCATTTTAAGTGTGATTTGATGATACAAAAATGAAATACGACGTTTTCTTCAGGTGAATCTAAGAACCAAAGGAAAAAACTACACCAAGAATGAGGACTTGTGCTCCAACGACTCATTTGTTGTTATCCACAACAGTGAGATCATGTGTGGCTATTTAGATAAAGCCACCCTTGGGTCTGGCTCAAAAAAGACCATCTTTTATCTGATCTTACGGGACTATGGTGAGGTGGCTGGTGCTGATGCCCTGTCTAGGCTGGCTAGGATTAGCCCAGCATTTCTCTCTCACCATGGGTTTTCTATAGGAATTGGTGACGTCACACCTGGAGAAGGTGAGGGAGACAATTTTTTGTACATTTTGTCTGGCTTGCTTACAACCAATATGCTGTTGTTAAACTAAGCAGTCAAAATATCTTGTACACTTGTGTTATAGTTGAATGCTAAAACCAAAGTACAATAAATGATTTCACCCATGGTCTTTAGTATTAGTTTTGATCTTATTTAATAAAACTTATTTGTAGTTTGTTGGCTTGTATGTTCTGTTTGTCTTAGTTTCAAAACCTTTATAAATCATTGATCATTTAAATAAATGTGAGTTAAATGTTGTGTATAAAAAAATTCTACAATTTGTTTATGACAGGTCTAATAAAAAAGAAACAAGATTTACTGGACAAGGGCTATTCAACATGTGATGGCTACATCAGAGATCTAGAGGAAGGAAGACTACAGCCTCAACCTGGGTGTTCAGAAGATGAAACATTAGAGGCTAAAATTCTTAAAGGTTCAGTGGAAAAATCTTTTATCAAACAAGAATTCTTTTTAACAAAAATTTTTTTTTACCTAACTTAAATTCCACTAATGAAACTTTGCAAAGAAACTTATTAAAACAAAAAGTCTGAAAGAAACTAAAGTTCTATTTAATAACCCCCCATTTGTCTCTCATATAAAGAATAGACCTGTCTGAGGTGAGTGTATGTAGCACATAGATCTGTTATCTTTGAATGACTTAATGACTTGTGTTTTGCTCTACCAGAACTGTCTGTGTTGAGTGTAGGTAGCACACAGATCTGTTATCTTTGAATGACTTAATGACATGACTTGTGTTTTGCTCTACCAGAACTGTCTGGTGTGAGTGTAGATAGCACACAGATCTGTTATCTTTGAATGACTTAATGACTTGTGTTTTGCTCTACCAGAACTGTCTGGTGTGAGTGTAGGTAGCACACAGATCTGTTATCTTTGAATGACTTAATGACATGACTTGTGTTTTGCTCTACCAGAACTGTCTGTGGTGAGTGTAGGTAGCACACAGATGTTATCTTTGAATGACTTAATGACATGACTTGTGTTTTGCTCTACCAGAACTGTCTGGTGTGAGTGTAGATAGCACACAGATCTGTTATCTTTGAATGACTTAATGACTTGTGTTTTGCTCTACCAGAACTGTCTGGTGTGAGTGTAGGTAGCACACAGATCTGTTATCTTTGAATGACTTAATGACATGACTTGTGTTTTGCTCTACCAGAACTGTCTGTGGTGAGTGTAGGTAGCACACAGATGTTATCTTTGAATGACTTAATGACATGACTTGTGTTTTGCTCTACCAGAACTGTCTGGTGTGAGTGTAGATAGCACACAGATCTGTTATCTTTGAATGACTTAATGACTTGTGTTTTGCTCTACCAGAACTGTCTGGTGTGAGTGTAGATAGCACACAGATCTGTTATCTTTGAATGACTTAATGACTTGTGTTTTGCTCTACCAGAACTGTCTGGTGTGAGTGTAGGTAGCACACAGATCTGTTATCTTTGAATGACTTAATGACATGACTTGTGTTTTGCTCTACCAGAACTGTCTGGTGTGAGTGTAGATAGCACACAGATGTTATCTTTGAATGACTTAATGACATGACTTGTGTTTTGCTCTACCAGAACTGTCTGGTGTGAGTGTAGATAGCACACAGATCTGTTATCTTTGAATGACTTAATGACATGACTTGTGTTTTGCTCTACCAGAACTGTCTGGTGTGAGTGTAGATAGCACACAGATCTGTTATCTTTGAATGACTTAATGACTTGTGTTTTGCTCTACCAGAACTGTCTGGTGTGAGTGTAGGTAGCACACAGATCCGTTATCTTTGAATGACTTAATGACATGACTTGTGTTTTGCTCTACCAGAACTGTCTGGTGTGAGTGTAGGTAGCACACAGATCTGTTATCTTTGAATGACTTAATGACTTGTGTTTTGCTCTACCAGAACTGTCTGGTGTGAGTGTAGATAGCACACAGATCTGTTATCTTTGAATGACTTAATGACTTGTGTTTTGCTCTACCAGAACTGTCTGGTGTGAGTGTAGATAGCACACAGATCTGTTATCTTTGAATGACTTAATGACATGACTTGTGTTTTGCTCTAACAGAACTGTCTGGTGTGAGTGTAGATAGCACACAGATCTGTTATCTTTGAATGACTTAATGACTTGTGTTTTGCTCTACCAGAACTGTCTGGTGTGAGTGTAGGTAGCACACAGATCTGTTATCTTTTAATGACTTAATGACATGACTTGTGTTTTGCTCTACCAGAACTGTCTGGTGTGAGTGTAGGTAGCACACAGATCTGTTATCTTTGAATGACTTAATGACTTGTGTTTTGCTCTACCAGAACTGTCTGGTGTGAGTGTAGATAGCACACAGATCTGTTATCTTTGAATGACTTAATGACTTGTGTTTTGCTCTACCAGAACTGTCTGGTGTGAGTGTAGGTAGCACACAGATCTGTTATCTTTGAATGACTTAATGACATGACTTGTGTTTTGCTCTACCAGAACTGTCTGTGGTGAGTGTAGGTAGCACACAGATCTGTTATCTTTGAATGACTTAATGACTTGTGTTTTGCTCTACCAGAACTGTCTGGTGTGAGTGTAGATAGCACACAGATCTGTTATCTTTGAATGACTTAATGACATGACTTGTGTTTTGCTCTACCAGAACTGTCTGGTGTGAGTGTAGGTAGCACACAGATCTGTTATCTTTGAATGACTTAATGACATGACTTGTGTTTTGCTCTACCAGAACTGTCTGGTGTGAGTGTAGGTAGCACACAGATCTGTTATCTTTGAATGACTTAATGACATGACTTGTGTTTTGCTCTACCAGAACTGTCTGGTGTGAGTGTAGATAGCACACAGATGTTATCTTTGAATGACTTAATGACATGACTTGTGTTTTGCTCTACCAGAACTGTCTGGTGTGAGTGTAGATAGCACACAGATCTGTTATCTTTGAATGACTTAATGACATGACTTGTGTTTTGCTCTACCAGAACTGTCTGGTGTGAGTGTAGATAGCACACAGATCTGTTATCTTTGAATGACTTAATGACTTGTGTTTTGCTCTACCAGAACTGTCTGGTGTGAGTGTAGGTAGCACACAGATCCGTTATCTTTGAATGACTTAATGACATGACTTGTGTTTTGCTCTACCAGAACTGTCTGGTGTGAGTGTAGGTAGCACACAGATCTGTTATCTTTGAATGACTTAATGACTTGTGTTTTGCTCTACCAGAACTGTCTGGTGTGAGTGTAGATAGCACACAGATCTGTTATCTTTGAATGACTTAATGACTTGTGTTTTGCTCTACCAGAACTGTCTGGTGTGAGTGTAGATAGCACACAGATCTGTTATCTTTGAATGACTTAATGACATGACTTGTGTTTTGCTCTAACAGAACTGTCTGGTGTGAGTGTAGATAGCACACAGATCTGTTATCTTTGAATGACTTAATGACATGACTTGTGTTTTGCTCTACCAGAACTGTCTGGTGTGAGTGTAGGTAGCACACAGATCTGTTATCTTTGAATGACTTAATGACATGACTTGTGTTTTGCTCTACCAGAACTGTCTGTGGTGAGTGTAGGTAGCACACAGATCTGTTATCTTTGAATGACTTAATGACATGACTTGTGTTTTGCTCTACCAGAACTGTCTGGTGTGAGTGTAGGTAGCACACAGATCTGTTATCTTTGAATGACTTAATGACATGACTTGTGTTTTGCTCTACCAGAACTGTCTGTGGTGAGTGTAGGTAGCACACAGATCTGTTATCTTTGAATGACTTAATGACATGACTTGTGTTTTGCTCTACCAGAACTGTCTGGTGTGAGTGTAGATAGCACACAGATCTGTTATCTTTGAATGACTTAATGACTTGTGTTTTGCTCTACCAGAACTGTCTGTGGTGAGTGTAGGTAGCACACAGATCTGTTATCTTTGAATGACTTAATGACTTGTGTTTTGCTCTACCAGAACTGTCTGGTGTGAGTGTAGATAGCACACAGATCTGTTATCTTTGAATGACTTAATGACATGACTTGTGTTTTGCTCTACCAGAACTGTCTGGTGTGAGTGTAGATAGCACACAGATCTGTTATCTTTGAATGACTTAATGACATGACTTGTGTTTTGCTCTACCAGAACTGTCTGGTGTGAGTGTAGGTAGCACACAGATCTGTTATCTTTGAATGACTTAATGACTTGTGTTTTGCTCTACCAGAACTGTCTGTGGTGAGTGTAGGTAGCACACAGATCTGTTATCTTTGAATGACTTAATGACATGACTTGTGTTTTGCTCTACCAGAACTGTCTGGTGTGAGTGTAGGTAGCACACAGATCTGTTATCTTTGAATGACTTAATGACATGACTTGTGTTTTGCTCTACCAGAACTGTCTGTGGTGAGTGTAGGTAGCACACAGATCTGTTATCTTTGAATGACTTAATGACATGACTTGTGTTTTGCTCTACCAGAACTGTCTGGTGTGAGTGTAGATAGCACACAGATCTGTTATCTTTGAATGACTTAATGACTTGTGTTTTGCTCTACCAGAACTGTCTGTGGTGAGTGTAGGTAGCACACAGATCTGTTATCTTTGAATGACTTAATGACTTGTGTTTTGCTCTACCAGAACTGTCTGGTGTGAGTGTAGATAGCACACAGATCTGTTATCTTTGAATGACTTAATGACATGACTTGTGTTTTGCTCTACCAGAACTGTCTGGTGTGAGTGTAGATAGCACACAGATCTGTTATCTTTGAATGACTTAATGACTTGTGTTTTGCTCTACCAGAACTGTCTGGTGTGAGTGTAGGTAGCACACAGATCTGTTATCTTTGAATGACTTAATGACATGACTTGTGTTTTGCTCTACCAGAACTGTCTGTGGTGAGTGTAGGTAGCACACAGATCTGTTATCTTTGAATGACTTAATGACATGACTTGTGTTTTGCTCTACCAGAACTGTCTGGTGTGAGTGTAGATAGCACACAGATCTGTTATCTTTGAATGACTTAATGACTTGTGTTTTGCTCTACCAGAACTGTCTGGTGTGAGTGTAGGTAGCACACAGATCTGTTATCTTTGAATGACTTAATGACATGACTTGTGTTTTGCTCTACCAGAACTGTCTGGTGTGAGTGTAGATAGCACACAGATCTGTTATCTTTGAATGACTTAATGACTTGTGTTTTGCTCTACCAGAACTGTCTGGTGTGAGTGTAGGTAGCACACAGATCTGTTATCTTTGAATGACTTAATGACTTGTGTTTTGCTCTACCAGAACTGTCTGTGATCAGAGACCATGCGGGAGAAGTTTGTTTGACTGAGCTGCACAAAACAAACAGTCCATTGAACATGGCCATTTGTGGCTCTAAAGGTTCTTTCATCAACATATCTCAGATGATTGCTTGTGTGGGACAGCAGGTCAGTTAAGATGTCAGATGATTGCTTGTGTAGGACTGCAGGTCAGTTTAAATGTTAGATGATTGTGGGACAGCAGGTCAGTTTAAATGTCAGATGATGGTTTGTGTGGGACAGCAGGTCAGTTTAAATGTCAGATGATGGTTTGTGTGGGACAGCAGGTCAGTTTAAATGTCAGATGATGGTTTGTGTGGGACAGCAGGTCAGTTTAAATGTCAGATGATTGTGGGACAGCAGGTCAGTTTAAATGTTAGATGATGGTTTGTGTGGGACAGCAGGTCAGTTTAAATGTTAGATGATTGCTTGTGTGGGACAGCAGGTCAGTTTAAATGTTAGATGATGGTTTGTGTGGGACAGCAGGTCAGTTTAAATGTTAGATGATGGTTTGTGTGGGACAGCAGGTCAGTTTAAATGTTAGATGATGGTTTGTGTGGGACAGCAGGTCAGTTTAAATGTCAGATGATGGTTTGTGTGGGACAGCAGGTCAGTTTAAATGTCAGATGATTGTGGGACAGCAGGTCAGTTTAAATGTCAGATGATGGTTTGTGTGGGACAGCAGGTCAGTTTAAATGTCAGATGATGGCTTGTGTGGGACAGCAGGTCAGTTTAAATGTTAGGTGATGGTTTGTGTGGGACAGCAGGTCAGTTTAAATGTCAGATGATGGCTTGTGTGGGACAGCAGGTCAGTTTAAATGTTAGGTGATGGTTTGTGTGGGACAGCAGGTCAGTTTAAATGTCAGATGATGGCTTGTGTGGGACAGCAGGTCAGTTTAAATGTTAGGTGATGGTTTGTGTGGGACAGCAGGTCAGTTTAAATGTCAGATGATTGCTTGTGTGGGATATTAGGTCAATTAAGCTGTTCCTTGTTGACAAAACATTGATTTTAAAATTTTGTAATGACTTGCATTGTAAACCGCTTTACAAATTTCCAACAATCAATTCCAATCTGCAGGCTATAAGTGGCAAGCGAGTCCCTAATGGATTTGAAGATCGAGCTTTGCCCCACTTCCCACGCTTCTCTAAAGATCCAGCAGCTCGTGGATTTGTTTCTAACAGCTTTTATACAGGTCAGTGACCTCATCCTTTGCTTATAAACACAGGATGGTGTCTTATATTTTATTTGAATTTGTACTGTTTCAGTTTAAAAATTCTTTCTCTTTACAAATTATCAAACAAGGTTTTCTAGGAAGCTAATGAAAAGTTAGATAAAATTTATGAAAAAAAAAAGCTACAAATTCCTGTTACTTATAATGAACAATAATTTTTTATTGAAGATGTACACCATTATCATTTTACATTGCTATCAGTGTAAAGTGGACATTTATATTCCTGTCTATATTCCTACTGATGTTAAATGTAACAATTTCTGATGTCTGACTGTCAGTGCTATCAGTGTTAAACAAAAATCTCTGTTTGTGTTGAAGGCCTGACGCCCACAGAGTTTTTCTTCCACACCATGGCTGGCAGAGAGGGTCTGGTGGACACGGCTGTCAAAACTGCTGAGACTGGCTACATGCAGAGAAGATTGGTCAAGTCTCTAGAAGATCTTTGTTTACAGTATGATTCAACTGTTCGCACCTCTGTTGGGGAGGTGAGTACAACTATGACACAAAGATATTTCTGTTCCTCAGATTCTAGCAGTCAGCTTGATTTACTGCCCTTAATGTGGCTGACATTTGATTCCCTTTTGCTAAGGCAGTTCACTTTATGATGATTAACCACTTCTAAAATAATAATCTAGATTAGATTTACTTTAGGATTATTAACATTAAAAAAATGTTTCTAGATTAGTTCTTTTTCTCAGTAGTAATAAGTTATTTGATCCACGTAGGTTGTCCAGTTTGTGTATGGGGAGGACAGCCTTGACCCTGCAGCTATGGAAGGCAGCGACCAGCCAGTTGAATACAACCGGCTTATGGTTCACATCAAAGCTATTCTTGCCTCTCAGTGCAGGACTGAGCCAACACTGACTGGAGAGCAGGTAGGAGATTTTAAACAAAATTACTTTGTGGTTTTTTTTTTAGCATTTTGTTGAGATATTTTGCTGCTTAGGAATTATTTTTACTACAAGTAAGTCAACTAAAAATGCTATATTTCTGAATTTTAATTTAAAACAAAAAGCAAAGCAAACGTACCCTTTTCAGACCTAAAGATCCATAGGGCATATGTAGAATTCAAATGGCTCTTGACCTAGGCATTAAAGAAGAATGGTGTGGTCAGTACCATGCCCAGCCATCTTTCCCTATAGTGAGTCAGGTACCCATCAGAGCTGGGTGGACTCGGGGATGTCCTTCAGTGACAAATCATGACCTTTGGGCGAGCAGTCAAGTGCTCTACCCCGCAGTCCCATAATTTAACACAGGAAAGATAATGCATACAGGAAAGAAATGCATACTTTTGAATTATAATTTAATACTTTGATCAACAAGAAATGCTGTTTTTATTTCCCTTAAATTTAAAACATGCATTATGTTCTCTTAGGTTTTGACACAAGTGAAAGACATCCTTGAGATGCCCTGCTGGGAGAAAGTCAACACAAGGTTTAAGAAAGACATCACTGATTTCTTTTACAACATGGCCAAAAACATCAACCAGACACGCTCTCAGTATGGTGTTGATAGACACGCTGGCCACAGGTCATCTGTTCTGGCCCAGCTGAACCGTCTGACCTGCTCGCAGGTGTCCAGGTTCATGGAGGTGTGTCTACACAAGTACAACAAGGCTCTGATAGAGCCAGGTGAGGCCGTGGGTGCCATCTGTGCCCAGTCTATTGGGGAGCCCGGCACCCAGATGACCCTGAAAACTTTCCACTTTGCTGGTGTAGCCAGCATGAACATCACCCAGGGAGTTCCCCGCATCAAAGAAATCATCAACGCCAGTAAAACCATCTCAACACCCATCATCACAGCCCAGCTAGAGAACGGCCACGATGAGGAGTTTGCTCGTCTAGTCAAAGGCCGGATTGAGCGCACAAGGTTGGGAGAGATCTCTGAGTACCTGGAGGAAGTCTACATACCTGACGACTGTTTTATACTGGTCAAGCTGGACTTACACAGGATTAGGCTGTTAAAGCTGGAAGTCTCGCCTGAGTCCATTGCCTCTTGTATTGTCAACTCCAAGCTTAAGGTCAAATACCCTGACATTAAAATCCACAGTGAATCTGTTTTCTCCATCTCAGCCAATGCCTCGTCTAAAGTCTCTATGTACTACAGACTTCAGACCTTGAAGAAAGCTCTGCCTGACATCACAGTCAGGGGAATCCCCTCAGTCTCCAGAGCTGTCATCCACAAGGATGACAAGACAGACAGGTACGAACTGTTGATTGAGGGGGACAACCTGAGTGGGGTCATGGCCACCCAGGGGGTGCACGGGGCCAAGTGCAAGTCCAACAACACCCACGAGGTCTGGCAGACCCTGGGCATAGAAGCCGCTCGCACTACCATCATGACTGAAGTGACAGTCACCATGGAGAGTCACGGGATGAGCATTGATGCCAGACACACCATGCTGCTGGCTGACCTGATGACCTACAGGGGTGAGGTGCTGGGTATTACCAGGTACGGGCTGGCTAAAATGAAAGAGTCCGTCCTGATGCTGGCGTCTTTTGAAAAAACAGCTGAACATTTATTCCAGGCAGCTTACTTTGGCCAGAGAGATGCCATCTGTGGGGTCAGTGAGTGCATCATCATGGGCATACCCATGAACCTTGGAACTGGTGTGTTTAAACTTCTCTACAAAGCAGAAAACCCACCAGTTATCTCCCCTCGTCCCCTACTCATTGACTTCAGAGCCCCAGAATTTTCTGTCTGATGTAGTGTAGTAGTTTAGTTTGTTGTCAAGTTGATTGATTAGCTTGTGATGTTTACAGGTTAACTTAATGATGTTTATGTTAGCTCAATTAAATCAATGAATGATTGACACTTTTAGTTTTTTAATAGTCTTAATACAAAATCCTGATAGATTTTTAACCTTTAAAAGGCCATTTAGTTTTGTCCTTTATAAAACCTTGACCATTTAGATCAGTCAGGTTTTTTGTTTAAACTGGACACAACTTTCCTAGGACACGACTTCCCTACTGGTCTACTGTGGTATAAGATGTGATGCTGCTTTTATGGATAACCCCTTGATAAAGCAAAATGTCCCATCTTTAAACTTACAGTTTTAAAATTTTAAAACAAATTTGTGATAATATTCATGAACAAATGACAACTGTGAGCAGAGTTAGTTAAGTTAGTTAACTACTTTGGTAAGCATGACATCTTATTTTTTTTAATCATTTTTCCATATCTGTTGAACTCTCAGAATGTATGACCATGAGATAGTTTGACCCTAATATTAACAATATGATCAAACTTAGTAAAGGACAAGACTGACTAACAAAACTAGCACAGGACACGTGAAGTAAATCTTTACTATTTAATACAACAATACCGGTACCATTGCAATAGATAAACATCGTGTAAGTATAACAGCACAGCCCCTTGACATCACAGCAGTAGTAAATGAAAACATTTGATTGTTGGGGGTTCTAAACATTGAACGTTGTTTCTTTTGTCTTGCCTACCATTCGTTGTGGTCAGTCGGGCTAGGTCACGGTCAGTCTCGATAGACATTGTTCGTTTGACTAGGTCAAGGTCAGTCGCCAGATAGTTGTCAAGGTCAGTCTTATTGGTCAAGGTCAGTCTTATTGGTCATGGTCAGTTTTGCTGGCTATTGGTGAAGCTCATCCTTGTTAAACGTCTAAACAGGAACTGTGACCCAATGAAAGCTTGTTGGTATTAGAAAACAAATGCATTCTTGTTTTTTGTTTTTATAGACTAACGTTATTATTGGCTAATGCTATAGGCTGATGCTATACTAATGCTATATGCTAATCCTTTAGGCTAATTGCTCTAGGCTAACGCTCTTGGCTGACCTTATAAGCTAATGAATGCTCTAGGCTCAGTGACTGTAGACGAGCATGACTAAACTAATATCCCGATCGAGTACGTGGAGCCTTTAAGCTTATCACAGAATTGTCTAAACAATCAAGATTGGGCTAAAAGCATGAAGATTAAACCAGTTATTAGCTGAAATAACTCAAAAAATTGCTGTATTGATCAAACGCCAGGTGTCCAAAATATAATAATCGTTGCATCGATTGGCCAACTCCTGTTTATGTACACCGTGTAACCATAGGTGTATCTAGGGTTGTTTATTGGGGGGGGGGGGGGGAGGTATATACAGCGTTAGCATACACTCTTACCTAGATCCGGCTTTGATTGTTAATGTAGGGCCACTGGTTGTACAAGATAAAAACACAAAGTGTGGGATTGATAACATCTAATAAAACAGTAAGATCACAAAGACCAGCCCCTCCCCCCATCCGCCAGTTTATCATATCAACAATGTACGAGCATCTTTCATCTAAAAACTTAAAAGGGTCGCCCATGTATGATGTCATCAAGTTAGCAGTTGTCTACCCTGAGCCCCTAGTCATACGTTGTTACAAACGTCACTCCCATCCCTTGAAATGTCACAATATTAATGGCTTCCCTCCCCTGTAAATAACCGTAGTTTTTTTTTAAAACATACTTATTTTTTCATCATTAATGTGAGAAAAATTCAAAGATGTGTGATAGAGATCTGCGTAGCCAACATGTCATATATCTTAACAGTTCAGGTATCACAAACTTACGATGAGCGTCAGAGAATTTACAGACAACCCCTGTCATAAAAATATTTTGAAAAAAAAAATTCGCGCTTAATTTGTTAACATCACTGGTTAGCAGCCGAAATAATAACAAAACAAAGCATTGACCTATTTCCATGGACACTTGACGCTATGTACGTGTAACAGGGTCTCCTTGTAGCTCCGCCTATCACAGCACCTATGTTTTTTTTCTTGTTACAGCTAGTAATAATCTGCAATATAAGCGTCAAATCATCGATTAGTTAAAAAGTATATTTTGTGGGAGGGGCGGGGCAGGGCTCGAGCCGGTTAGTATCGACATATTTTATTTCCCAGCTTTTTGCCGTATCGATTCTCATAACGTCACACAGATTTACACGTTATTTTTGAATTTTATAGCGCGTTACACAGCGGCTTAGAGGACAAAAAAAAAAAGGATGCTTACTTTAGGCTAAAAAGTAAAATCAGATGCTGACTTTATCAGATGCTTACTTTATGCCAAAAAGTAAAAGTAAAAACGGATGCTTACTTTATGCCGGAAGACAAGAAAAAAAAACCGGATGCTTACTTTATGCCGGAAGACAAGAAAAAACCGGATGCTTACTTTATGCCGGAAGACAAGAAAAAAAAACGGATGCTTACTTTATGCCGGAAGACAAGAAAAAAAAACGGATGCTTACTTTATGCCGGAAGACAAGAAAAAAAAAACGGATGCTTACTTGATGCCAAAAATTAAAAGAAAAAGGCCGCAGACGATGCCAAAGATAGAGTCTAAGAACCAGAGCCGGGTGTCCTCTACATACAGCTCCAAGCCTGCAACACCCGCAAAACAGGAAGCCGCACCCACAAAGGTTATTATACCTGAAATAGAAAGGTCACGTGACATGTTATACCTGAAATAGAAAGGTCACGTGAGATGTTATACCCAGTGGCGAAGCGAGGTCGGGTGTCACCCGGTGCTGCACTTAATTGTGTCACCCCCCAGAGGCGTAGCGACCCTTCCCGGGGACAAACTTTCAAATTTTCGATTTTGCACCCCACCCTCAAACTTTCGATTTGCACCCCCCCCCCCCCGTCAAGTTTTTCTTTATATATTTTGCCATTTTTTGCCTTGGTGTCACCCCCTTAAATGGTCCGCACCCCCGCCCCCCCTCGCTACGCCTCTGGTTATACCTGAAATAGAAAGGTCACGTGACATGTTTTATCTGAAATAGACAATTATGTCACAAATGTTAAACCTGAAAAAATACACAAATTTTATGCCTGAAATACATAAGTCACATGACAAACGTTATGTCTGAAATAGTAAGGTCACTTGGCAAATGTTATCATTTAAAAAATGAGCTGACTTCACGATATCAATGAAATACACGGATCAAGTAATTCTTTTGTGTCTCAAATGGATGAATGAATCGTGTCGAACACTAACTGGATTCTGTAGTAAATCAAACAATTTTATGAAGAGCTTGTGGGTAAAGTATGAATAAATTAAAGGATGCTAACCCCGTAGCTGGAACGGCGAGGTTTGATGGTAGATCTAACGAACGTTAACCCGAAAGTCTCAAGTTCGAATCTCCGGCTCGAGTCTGTAGAACGGCCCCGAGTTCACACAGATGAACTCTACTTCATCTGTCCCACGTGTCTTGGGCATAAATAGTAGTGAGTGGAACAGCTACTGTGAGTCGTGAGTGGGACATGTGCGAGTAAGTGTGTGTGGGGTCTGTGTGAACAAGGTGTGTATGGAAATGTATAGAAAACAACTCAGTACAATACATGCGTAAAAAAAACTCACTGTAGAGTGCACACGTAAAACAGCTTACTGTGTAAACCAACTTACTGTCTGTGTAGAGTGCACACGTAAAACAGCTTACTGTGTAAACCAACTTACTGTCTGTGTAGAGTGGTCACGTAAAACAGCTAACTGTGTAAAACAACTTACTGTCTGTGTAGAGTGCCTGACTGTTGAGCTTGAGACCGATGTAGATCTTGGCCACAGCAATCAGCAAGGACACGATGCCACAACTCAAGGCAAAGCTATCGTACAGGACAACTTCCTGCCGAGTACAAGTGTTAAATAGTTGTCTCCAAGTCATACAAGTTTTAAATAGTCAGTTGTCTGCCAGTTGATACAAGTGTTAAATAGTCAGTTGTCTCCCAGTCATACAAGTGTTAAATAGTCAGTTATCTGCCAGTCATACAAGTGTTAAATAGTCAGTTGTCTGCCAGTCATACAAGTGTTAAATAGTCAGTTGTCTCCCAGTTATACAAGTGTTAAATAGTCAGTTGTCTCCCAGTTGATACAAGTGTTAAATAGTCAGTTGTCTCCCAGTTATACAAGTGTTAAATAGTCAGTTGTCTCCCAGTTGATACAAGTGTTAAATAGTCAGTTGTCTCCCAGTTGATACAAGTGTTAAATAGTCAGTTGTCTCCTAGTTGATACAAGTGTTAAATAGTCAGTTGTCTCCCAGTTGATACAAGTGTTAAATAGTCAGTTGTCTCCCAGTTGATACAAGTGTTAAATAGTCAGTTGTCTCCCAGTCGAAACTACCTACGTGGTTCAGTTTACTGGACCGTTTAGCTGGTCTATGCCTGAATACTGAGCCTGTCAGTTGTAACCAGTGAGTTCAAACTCCAGTTTTTTTTTTAAATTTGCATAACAATACTTAAATATTTGTTTTCCTTAACAGTTTTTATAATAAGCACTTGGTACAGTGGAATCATTGTTTAATAATTTCCACGGTTTTTTAAAAATGATACTAAGGTGGATTTGGAACGAAATGGTGTAGTAATTTTGAAATAAAAATCGAAAATTTAAAACCGTCTAGTTATATATATATATATATATATATATATATATATATATATATATATATATATATATATATTGGTTGCTAGGTAAACAAAAGTGTGACTGTTGTCATTGGTTGCTAGGTAAACATGCACCTTAGACTCGTGAGTCTCCAGGATAATTGCGACCACAGACTTGATGATCAGAGAAGCTGCCGACACCAGAAAGAGGACGCCGATAGCGACACACGCCCTGCAACCCAGAGAAACATTGGTAAGACTTCCTTGAAAAGTTCAACGTTTAGAGCACATACACTACGTCCACAAAAGACGCCACGACAACTGTATCTATCCCCTGAGTCTTTTGTCAAACGTCGCTACCTACAACTACAAGCTCGAGCCGTACAAGTAACACATACATCTCAAGGCTCCACTAACCCCTAAAACAATGGTAGTTCTAAAAAAAATGGAAATTCTAGTGTTTCAAATAAGAAAAAAAGGCACGTAGTATAACTTAGGCGAAAATTAGAACCACCCTCCCTACAAAATGTGACGTCCTTTAATCCCAGACGACCACCCCCCCCTAGTTTAACTACCCCACAACTTACTTCCGTTCCCTGGCCAGCGAGTAAGCACAGTCAACGTTGCCATGGAATCTCCAGACAACAGCACATGACGACAAGCTGTCTAGGACAGCATCCAACTAGGGAAATAAATTCATTTTAATTAGGACTGCAACTAACTAGGGAAATATTTTCGTTATAATTTGTGGTTAGATATATAAGTGATTGAATTTCCTGTAGAATCACCCCCTTACCCTTCATGTCAATTCCTCCCGCACACTACCCCGAGACCAAAACTGCAGCAGGACATCCCCCCCCCCCGCACATCCCTTTACGTAGGAATAGGAATGTAGGTAGGAGGCTAGGGATAAGGTTAGGACTAGTAATGAGGCTAGAGGTTATAGATTAGCATTGTGCGAGGGGAAAGTATAGATATTTTTGTTTTTGATTATTAACGGGTCGTCCATAAATGACGTCACACTCGTAGGGGGGGGGGGTTCGTAATTTTGTGACGATGTGTGATGAGGGAGGGGGCTCAGAGGGTGCGACGTCACACTTTTGCATTATAAAAAGGCAATATTAGAAAACGAATTTTAGACGTTATTTCGCGTTTCAGAAAACTATTTTAATACATTCTGATTAAAATGCTCTATTTTGACAGAGTTCAGACAAGAATTTAGAAAAATATCGATGTTTTAAAAAAAAATTCAACTGCAATTTTGAGGGGGGTTGTAGGCTGAGGTGTGACGTCATTTTAGGGAGGGTCTGGCTTTTTGTGACGACGTGTGACGGAATGGAGGGGGGGGGGGGGGAGTAAAAATCGTCCAAAAAAAAAAGCGTGACGTCATTTATGGATGACCCCTAAGGTCACGGTTAGGGATAGGGTTGGAGATAAGGATAGGGTCAGGTTTAGGATAAGCTTTGGATTAGGGTTACTGTGGTTAATTAGCACGTGGGTAAATGACAGGGGGGGGGGGTAAATGAAAGGAGATGGGAGGGGGTGATTAAACAAGATAGGGAGGTAATTGCCAGAGGAGAGGGGGTTCATTGAGAAGAGAAGAACATTGAAAAAAAGAGGGGATAATTTGGAGGAGATGGGGGTAATTGACATGAGAGGAGGTAATTACTGGGGTAATAGATCGAGATAATCTGGTGTGGGCAATGTCAGGGAAAATTACAGGGGGTAATTGACCCGGAAGGTAATGTCCTAGAACCGGCAAAAAGGCTCCGACTATTTGGCTCACAACAAAAAGGACCCCATAAAATCTATATTTTGTTGTGCTTGAGTTAGCTCTAGTAAAATAATGTATAAAAATGTATTTACCCCGAATGCAAACAGCGACTCGCTGTTGCCCGTCATACTCAACACTGTAACAGATAACAGAGAAATCCACGATCAAACGCTGTACACATAAAACATGGATAGCATGTGTTTGTGATATATCATGATCAATACAAGTTCAAAAGTTAAACATCAATGATTCGCATCTTTAGCTACAAAATTAGCAAGTCAATGCACAGTTAACTCACACTAAGGACATGCTTTTACATTTTTACATGTTAAACTGATGAATCTGATATGAAGGCTAAATAAATACCGTCCACCTACACAAGTAGGGTTCGTGTGGGATGTGGATTTAATGCCCAACCTACCAGCCCTGTATTCCTTATATTTATATACACGCTGTAAACAAAACTAGTGTTTAAATATCTACTTTGGACATCTCCCTACAACTACAATAAGTTTTTTTTATTATATGTGATGGTATTCAGCGGCCATACGTTTTGCATAGATCTGTTAAAAGATGGTGGTTTTGTCTATCCACTCGATCTGTGTTCAGTGAAAGCGGCAGACCAAACGATATATCGATTGCTCCACGCTCCCGTCAGCCACCTGGCACACTGTTATTTCACCTGCTGTTAACTTGCCCGTTTGGTTCTCTAATTTCTTTATTTCCCTTAAAAAATCGTCTTTGAAAACGCCAGATGTCGTATTTATTTTTACATCAACCAGACTTGGCACAAAGCTAACATTTTATGTTACGTTACACAGCATACGCTGGAATTATTAAGTGTAGACCAGTCACTGAAAGTGCTTGCGTCTGAAAGTACCTGCCGTCTGCCTGACTTGTCACATATACCTGCCGTCTGCCTGACTTGTCACATATACCCGCCGTCTGCCTGACTTGTCACATATACCACATATACCTGCCGTCTGCCTTACTTGTCACATATACCTGCCGTCTGCCTGACTTGTCACATATACCGGCCGTCTGTCTGACTTGTCACATATACCTGCCGTCTGCCTGACTTGTCACATATACCCGCCGTCTGCCTGACTTGTCACATATACCTGCCGTCTGTCTGACTTTGTCACATATACCACATATACCTGCCGTCTGTCTGACTTTGTCACATATACCACATATACCTGCCGTCTGCCTGACTTGTCACATATACCTGCCGTCTGCCTGACTTGTCACATATACCTGCCGTCTGCCTGACTTGTCACATATACCACATATACCTGCCGTCTGCCTTACTTGTCACATATACCTGCCGTCTGTCTGACTTTGTCACATATACCTGCCGTCTGCCTGACTTGTCACATATACCTGCCGTCTGCCTGACTTGTCACATATACCTGCCGTCTGCCTGACTTGTCACATATACCTGCCGTCTGTCTGACTTTGTCACATATACCTGCCGTCTGCCTGACTTGTCACATATACCTGCCGTCTGTCTGACTGTCACATATACCACATATACCTGCCGTCTGCCTGACTTGTCACATATACCACATATACCTGCCGTCTGCCTGACTTGTCACATATACCTGCCGTCTGCCTGACTTGTCACATATACCTGCCGTCTGCCTGACTTGTCACATATACCTGCCGTCTGCCTGACTTGTCACATATACCTGCCGTCTGCCTGACTTGTCACATATACCTGCCGTCTGCCTGACTTGTCACATATACCTGCCGTCTGCCTTACTTGTCACATATACCTGCCGTCTGTCTGACTTTGTCACATATACCTGCCGTCTGCCTGACTTGTCACATATACCTGCCGTCTGCCTGACTTATCACATATACCTGCCGTCTGCCTGACTTGTCACATATACCTGCCGTCTGCCTGACTTGTCACATATACCTGCCGTCTGCCTGACTTTGTCACATATACCACATATACCCGCCGTCTGCCTGACTTGTCACATATACCTGCCGTCTGCCTGACTTGTCACATATACCTGCCGTCTGCCTGATTTGTCACATATACCCGCCGTCTGCCTGACTTGTCACATATACCTGCCGTCTGCCTGACTTGTCACATATACCTGCCGTCTTCCTGACTTGTTACATATACCTGCCGTCTGCCTGACTTGTCACATATACCCGCCGTCTGCCTGACTTGTCACATATACCTGCCGTCTTCCTGACTTGTCACATATACCTGCCGTCTGCCTGACTTGTCACATATACCTGCCGTCTGCCTGATTTGTCACATATACCTGCCGCCTGCCTGACTTGTCACATATACCTGCCGTCTGCCATACTTACCAATAGCCGCGATCCCCGCGCCCAAAGCAAAAATAATGGAGAACCACGAGACGACCAGAGCAGAAGTGACATACGTTTTGGTCTCGTTTGGCGACAGGGGGCGCTGGTTGATGAGAGACGCTGTCAAACATAATAAAAATTGAGACGTGAAATCAAACCACGAAAAATGCCGGACCTGAGCTCATTACATCGTTTGCATGACGTTTTAACGCTTCTTAAACGTCGCACCAAAACTCTCTTAAAATATATAATTGACAAAAAGCTAAAAAAATTTACACTGTTCATTGTCACTGCTTTTCCGTTTCATCTTCGCCTGAGTGACGTCTCGTTTTGTTGATTCATTTTCACCAGGCCCAAGTTGTTTCAGCTGTAAACTATTTTCATCATTTTCGTCCATCTCGGATTCACGCTTTTTTCATCCCTTTCCTCTAATCATGGGCTTCGATGACAAAATAGTACAATATTTGACCAGACATTTATAGATTGGACTTAGGGCAAGTAAAAGTATATATTGTCGTTAAATTCTGCAAAAAGTGATACAAAATGCATCAAACTTAAAATTATGTTTAATTAAAGAAGAATAAAAAAAAAGGTCTGGCAAACACTTCCATATTTAATTGGCCATTAATTGGCCATTAATTGACCATTTACAAGAGACAATTAAAAAAAAAACACACACTTAATATGAAGCATTTATAAGTACTTTGTTAGTACACACAATAATTCCATTTTCTTTGAAAAGATGTGTGAGTGTGTATTTGTATGCGAGCGAGAGTTTGTGTGTGTGTGAGCGAGTGTGTGAGTGTCAGTCTGTTAAGCGCCCAATATTCTACTCTGTCCTAGAATTGTAAGAAGACTGCCTAACATCTAACTATACCCGTGGTAACTATAGAAAACAACACCATTTTATTACATTACCGACAACAGTAACTATAGAATACACCACAATTTCATTACTTTACCGTTGGTAACAATAGAAATATGTTACAGTGTAAGGCGACAGTAACATCACTAACGTGTCACTATCTTCTCGTTGAGACACCTAATGTCCCCCACACCTTCTAGTTGAGACACCTAATGTCCCCCACACCTTCTAGTTGAGACACCTAATGTCCCCCACACCTTCTAGTTGAGACACCTAATGTCCCCCACACCTAGTTGAGACACCTAATGTCCCCACACCTTCTAGTTGAGACACCTAATGTCCCTCACACCTTCTAGTTGAGACACCTAATGTCCCCCACACCTAGTTGAGACACCTAATGTCCACCACACCTTCTAGTTGAGACACCTAATGTCCCCCACACCTTCTAGTTGAGACAATGTCCCCCACACCTAGTTGAGACATCTAATGTCCCCCACACCTTCTAGTTAAGACACCTAATGTCCCCCCACACCTTCTAGTTGAGACACCTAATGTCCCCCACACCTTCTAGTTGAGACACCTAATGTCCCATTCACCTTCTAGTTGAGACACCTAATGTCCCCCACACCTTCTAGTTGAGACACCTAATGTCCCCCACACCTTCTAGTTGAGACACCTAATGTCCCCCACACCATCTAGTTGAGACACCTAATGTCCCCCCACACATTCCAGTTGAGACACCTAATGTCCCCCACACCCAGTTGAGCACCTAATGTCCCCCACACATTCTAGTTGAGACACCTAATGTCCCCCCACACCTTCTAGTTGAGACACCTAATGTCCCCCCACACCTTCTAGTTGAGACACCTAATGTCCCCCCACACCTTCTAGTTGAGACACCTAATGTCCCCAACACCTTCTAGTTAAGACACCTTATGTCCCCCACACCTTCTAGTTGAGACACCTAATGTCCCCCACACCTTCTAGTTAAGACATTGTCCCCCACACCTTCTAGTTGAGACAATGTCCCCCACACCTTCTAGTTGAGACAGTCCCCCACACCTTCTAGTTGAGACACCTAATGTCCCCCACACCTTCTAGTTGAGACAATGTCCCCCACACCTTCTAGTTGAGACAGTCCCCCACACCTTCTAGTTGAGACAATGTCCCCCACACCTTCTAGTTGAGACACCTAATGTCCCCCACACCTTCTAGTTGAGACAATGTCCCCCACACCTTCTAGTTGAGACACCTAATGTCCCCCACACCTTCTAGTTGAGACACCTAATGTCCCCCACACCTAGTTGAGACATCTAATGTCCCTCACACCTTCTAGTTGAGAACCTAATGTCCCCACACCTTCTAGTTGAGACACCTAATGTCCCCCACACCTTCTAGTTGAGACACCTAATGTCCCCCACACCTTCTAGTTGAAAAATCTAATGTCCCCCACACCTTCTAGTTGAGACATCTAATGTCCCCCACACCTTCTAGTTGAGACACCGAATGTCCCCCACACCTTCTAGTTGAGACACCTAATGTCCCCCACACCTTCTAGTTGAGACACCTAATGTCCCCCACACCTAGTTGAGACATCTAATGTCCCTCACACCTTCTAGTTGAGACACCTAATGTCCCCACACCTTCTAGTTGAGACACCTAATGTCCCCCACACCTAGTTGAGGCATCTAATGTCCCTCACACCTTCTAGTTGAGACACCTAATGTCCCCTACACCTAGTTGAGACATCTAATGTCCCTCACACCTTCTAGTTGAGACACCTAATGTCCCCAACACCTAGTTGAGACATCTAATGTCCCTCACACCTTCTAGTTGAGACACCTAATGTCCCCCACACCTTATAGTCGAGACACCTAATGTCCCCCACACCTTCTAGTTGAGACACCTAATGTCCCCCACACCATCTAGTTGAGACACCTAATGTCCCCCACACCTTCTAGTTGAGACACCTAATGTCCCCCACACCTTCTAGTTGAGACACCTAATGTCCCCCACACCATCTAGTTGAGACACCTAATGTCCCCCACACCTTCTAGTTGAGACACCTAATGTCCCCCACATCTTCTAGTTGAGACAATGTCCCCCACACCTAGTTGAGACATCTAATGTCCCTCACACCTTCTAGTTAAGACACCTAATGTCCCATTCACCTTCTAGTTGAGACACCTAATGTCCCCCACACCTTCTAGTTGAGACACCTAATGTCCCCCACACCTTCTAGTTGAGACACCTAATGTCCCCACACCATCTAGTTGAGACACCTAATGTCCCCCCCCCCACACATTCCAGTTGAGACACCTAATGTCCCCCACACCCAGTTGAACACCTAATGTCCCCCACACATTCTAGTTGAGACACCTAATGTCCCCCACACCTTCTAGTTGAGACACTTAATGTCCCCCACACCTTCTAGTTAAGACACCTAATGTCCCCCACACCTTCTAGTTGAGACAATGTCCCCCACACCTTCTAGTTGAGACAATGTCCCCCACACCTTCTAGTTGAGACACCTAATGTCCCCCACACCTTCTAGTTGAGACAATGTCCCCCACACCTTCTAGTTGAGACAATGTCCCCCACACCTTCTAGTTGAGACAATGTCCCCCAAACCTTCTAGTTAAGACACCTAATGTCCCCCACACCTTCAAGTTGAGACAATGTCCCCCACACCTTCTAGTTGAGACAATGTCCCCCACACCTTCTAGTTAAGACACCTAATGTCCCCTACACCTTCTAGTTGAGACAATGTCCCCCACACCTTCTAGTTGAGACACCTATTGTCCCCCACACCTTCTAGTTGAGACACCTAATGTCCCCCACACCTTCTAGTTGAGACAATGTCCCCCACACCTTCTAGTTGAGACAATGTCCCCCACACCTTCTAGTTAAGACACCTAATGTCCCCCACACCTTCTAGTTGAGACAATGTCCCCCACACCTTCTAGTTGAGACAATGTCCCCCACACCTTCTAGTTAAGACACTTAATGTCCCCCACACCTTCTAGTTGAGACAATGTCCCCCACACCTTCTAGTTGAGACAATGTCCCCCACACCTTCTAGTTGAGACAATGTCCCCCACACCTTCTAGTTAAGACACCTAATGTCCCCCACACCTTCAAGTTGAGACAATGTCCCCCACACCTTCTAGTTGAGACAATGTCCCCCACACCTTCTAGTTGAGACAATGTCCCCCACACCTTCTAGTTAAGACACCTAATGTCCCCCACACCTTCTAGTTGAGACAATGTCCCCCACACCTTCTAGTTGAGACAGTCCCCCACACCTTCTAGTTGAGACACCTAATGTCCCCCACACCTTCTAGTTGAGACAATGTCCCCCACACCTTCTAGTTGAGACAGTCCCCCACACCTTCTAGTTGAGACAATGTCCCCCACACCTTCTAGTTGAGACACCTAATGTCCCCCACACCTTCTAGTTGAGACAATGTCCCCCACACCTTCTAGTTGAGACACCTAATGTCCCCCACACCTTCTAGTTGAGACACCTAATGTCCCCCACACCTAGTTGAGACATCTAATGTCCCTCACACCTTCTAGTTGAGAAGCTAATGTCCCCACACCTTCTAGTTGAGACACCTAATGTCCCCCACACCTTCTAGTTGAGACACCTAATGTCCCCCACACCTTCTAGTTGAAACATCTAATGTCCCCCACACCTTCTAGTTGAGACATCTAATGTCCCCCACACCTTCTAGTTGAGACACCGAATGTCCCCCACACCTTCTAGTTGAGACACCTAATGTCCCCCACACCTTCTAGTTGAGACACCTAATGTCCCCCACACCTAGTTGAGACATCTAATGTCCCTCACACCTTCTAGTTGAGACACCTAATGTCCCCACACCTTCTAGTTGAGACACCTAATGTCCCCCACACCTAGTTGAGGCATCTAATGTCCCTCACACCTTCTAGTTGAGACACCTAATGTCCCCTACACCTAGTTGAGACATCTAATGTCCCTCACACCTTCTAGTTGAGACACCTAATGTCCCCAACACCTAGTTGAGACATCTAATGTCCCTCACACCTTCTAGTTGAGACACCTAATGTCCCCCACACCTTATAGTCGAGACACCTAATGTCCCCCACACCTTCTAGTTGAGACACCTAATGTCCCCCACACCATCTAGTTGAGACACCTAATGTCCCCCACACCTTCTAGTTGAGACACCTAATGTCCCCCACACCTTCTAGTTGAGACACCTAATGTCCCCCACACCATCTAGTTGAGACACCTAATGTCCCCCACACCTTCTAGTTGAGACACCTAATGTCCCCCACACCTTCTAGTTGAGACAATGTCCCCCACACCTAGTTGAGACATCTAATGTCCCTCACACCTTCTAGTTAAGACACCTAATGTCCCATTCACCTTCTAGTTGAGACACCTAATGTCCCCCACACCTTCTAGTTGAGACACCTAATGTCCCCCACACCTTCTAGTTGAGACACCTAATGTCCCCACACCATCTAGTTGAGACACCTAATGTCCCCCCCCCACACATTCCAGTTGAGACACCTAATGTCCCCCACACCCAGTTGAACACCTAATGTCCCCCACACATTCTAGTTGAGACACCTAATGTCCCCCACACCTTCTAGTTGAGACACTTAATG